CCTGTCCAGCTGAGGAGGGGAGTGATAGAGCGGCTTTGGTGGGCACCTGGCATCCAGCCAGGGTCAACCCACCACGGGCAGTTAATAGTTAAGCTAGACATATTTTGAGAATTGCACATGAAAAATAAAATACTGGTACGGTACTAATTCTCACTGCTCCATATCATATCACAACATGTACATCAAAACAGTAGCTTCTTCCCATGGTAAAATCTTTACAATAAAACTAAAGCATAATTATGTCTATAAATTATATTAACAAATTACTTACACTATAAAGTATTATTATAAGTAAATGTAAAGTAGACCTAAAAAATAAATATAGATTTTAGAATTTTATTTTATAATCGCATCATGTTTCACTTGCTAATGATGACAACAGCAGGCAAAAGTGTACTCTTGGTGTGCAATTCCAAGAGTGCTTGTATGCCAAAATGGCATATCTTGCAGGTATCAAGGGAATTTCATCTTGAGATTAGTGCATACCCACAGGGATAATCTACTTTCACTGGATTTATTACTAATATGAACAAACAAAACTAACACTCTTCTGATTTGATGTGGCTATTTTCCTATGTGGCACACCGATACTCCTCATTGTAAGAGCTCTGAGTTGGACAGTGTCTCAGGCCAACCATTCCAACATGACAGCAGCAGCAAACATGGTACAAGGATTCTAGGAACTATTTAGTCTAAACCAAAACCACTACCAAAACCAGTGGGCCCTGCCAGACGTGCTCTGGCAACTCATTTCACTTCTAGGGGAATTTGGCTTTGGAACGGATACAGGTTAAAATAGCTCCTCAACATCACCACCACCCTCCCAGGTGTAATTTTGACCTGAGAGTATTTCTCCAGCCCAGCTCACCATGCCACCACCAGAATGTTTGTGTTGACACAAACGATGGTGTAGAAATGAGGAAATGAGCAGCCAAAGGTAGAAGGACAGAAGCACTCCTAGCCAGCTCATTCCAGTGTAACATTCTCATGGATCTATGAGTGCTTTTCACTTGTTCATCCACTGTCTTCTTCCTTCTAAGCGCTTATATGAAATGGCCTTTCCATCTACGGAGAGCTTCTTTGAGCTCCCCCATCTTCATTCAGCCTGTGATTCCACATTAGAGGGAAGTGTATTTTTTTTATTTTTAAAATTTGTTACTAGGTGCACTCATGGCACTATGCATGCATGCATGGAATTGTATCCACCACTCAGCTTTATAACTGGACATATTTTTAAATTACAGACCATAGGCCAAACATGTACAGAATTTTTTACTCAGGAATGAAAAGTATGCTTGATAAGAGAGGTTGGAGAAAACAAAGTAAACCACAAAAGCTTGGAGTATTTCAGAACTGCAGAATTGCAGTTATTTGGTTCTGATAGGAAATGAAACTGAGATCTTGAAAACTTCTCCACAACCCCCTCCTCAAATGAAAAATCAAAGAAAAACTGACTGGATGCTATACCACATGCCCTCAGGGCCAGAAAGCAAGCCCTGCTCCATGCTGTTTGTTAGCATAGAGGTAACCAATGAATCATCCCTCACAGTGGTGGAAGAACCTTCTCTTGCCGATAGCTAATGTTTTACAGATGAAATAGCAAGAAAACAGAAGTCCATTTTGACCACAAACACAAGTTCATGCACACACGCACGATCAGGTGACAGCAAAGGAGTAGACAAATCCTTCGAGTTACATCAAGGATATTTTTCGGATTATTATTATTATTATTATTATTGTCAGAAAACCAATGGAAATTTCCTATATCACCCTTACTTTCCAGACATTCATTATTTAGATTCTACCAGTGGACTAATATAATGAGAATATCCCATTTTTAAAACTTCTTTATGAACTTCTAAAAGATCTCAATTCCCTTCTCTTTTCTCATTTAGTGCTAGCAGAAGAAAGCTACTTACAAAGAACTGTTTCTAGCTGTTTCTGTTAAGTTGTAGCTATACTTATCTCTTGTTCCAAATTACCAGATGCTTTCCTGTCAGCTTCCATTTTCACAAGTGACCTTTAGATCTAATTAATTATCCACATAAAGGATACTTTAGGACGGCATATCTACGGGTTGCCTTAATGTGATATGTAAATGTCTTGTCAAGTGCTGATGAGATATACAGAGCACCCTCTTGTCACATTCTCCATCAGGTCACTGATTTATAATAAGCTACGGTGGGCTGGGCAGGGATCAGGACAGTGGAGCTTAACATGTACCTTGACATCCTGGTATAAAATCATCAGCAGCAACTATTCCCTGATATCAAAGCCATTTATTATTAAGTACAATATTCTTGGTGTACTGCTACACAATACTTAACTTGGCAGTTAGCCTTTTTCTTGAACTGTGAATAAATATTATTTCCTGCTTCTTCTCTGTCTACATTTATAGGGAACTTCACAAAGATATTAATCAATTAGCAGTGTCCCAAGTTCCTACTTTGAAGAAAATGCTGAAAACAGTACCTTAGGACACTTCTTATTTTTATCAAAATTATTACACCTAAACAAGGGTTTATATTTACGAGAAGATAATACGAACATACAGTAATGATTTCCTAATATTGCTTGTACCTCTGCTTAAATGTCACTGCTCACTGGATAAATAAGTAGCTATTCCATTCCAATTAGGTTATAAAAAGGTTACCATTTGCTTCAACCAATCAATATTCCACACATAATTAATTTATACATTCATAATTTAGAAACTTATAAACTATGTTTTTTCATAAACTATGCTTTTAAAAGAAACATTTAATTACAATATTCAGGTGTATTTGAAGACTTAATATACAGAACTTTAAATACTCACAGACTCTGTATCCACATAAAGAGAATGCGATAAAAAATGGATACATATGATTGTATTTATGTGTTCATTTTAACTCTTGTAACTCTAAAACATCATTATTGGCTGCTTTTGAGTATCGTATCCTCTCCATTTCATAGTATTCCATTTCCTTATAATTAGAGGTAGTCCAAGAGTAATTACAAGATTTATCAAATGGATCAGCCTTTATTCCTGGTCAAATCAAAAGCAACCTTTTTTTTTTTCCCCCATCTCCCACGAAGTTCTGCAAACCCTTGCCAACATTTCAGCCAACAGCAATGGTCAAAGTGACAAGACTGAGCAACAAATTTCTTTGAGCAACTACATCAAATTCACCAGACTCATTGCTTTCAGCTAGGATGAAGGAAGAAAAGGGATTAATAGATTTGGGAATCAAAAGTTCCAAGTGAATTCAAAGTTTCACCATTATAAAACCAGCATATTTGGATGAAACTCTGTTTCATTGGAGATTTCTAATACATTTATTCACAATCTTGAAGTTATTTATCACTGCAACAACACTGTGAATAAAGGAACTGGTTAAAGTTCATTTTGAAGTTGGAGAGCTAAATAACAAGCTCATGGCCACACAAACATGTGAGGCAGAGTGGAAGCTCCAATACAGGTGCCCCAACTCAGAGGTTTATAATTTAGTCAAGGACTTCCCATTTTTATTGTCGTTAGATTCTATTTCTTATCTTGATCCATGTAGTATTAGCAAACACACACAGCAGTTTTTAATTCTTTACCATTAACTCTTTGTTCCTAATTAGATGCAGCTAGATGGAGTGGCAATTTCCCACGAGAATTTATGAACTTGAGATGTAATTAAACCTTTTTCAGTTCTATTTTGCTCTAACGTATTATACAGAGATCAGTACACAGAAAGAAATCAGTTGGAGGAAAAAATAAAATGGAAATCTCAACTGTTGAGTCCTGGGGGAAACAGCTGAAAGGCAGGACTTACAAATTAGTTAATAGAAAGATAAATTTTCACCTGAGGATAAAGCACTGGGGACGCTGCTCCTGGAATAGCATGTGGTAAGCTCTTTCAGCACAGGAAAATATATGCGGGGGAAGTGAGGAACACAATTTTCCAGAGTTACTTAAATAAAGCTGGGTGACCTGAAAAATTATAAAAAATTAATATGATCAATACATTTCAAACTAATTATGTTTCACCCCCCTAATCCTGGGTCTTTTGTAAAGCTCTCTAAGCATTATGAACAGAATCTCTGTATGTATATATGTGGTACCATTACAGCATCTATGAAGATTTTAATTAAAGAAAACAGAGCTGTAGGCATAGAAGATCTAATTAAGATACAAAAGTAAACATAACTAGAGGACTCAATAGTTTGGTTTGTGCATTGAGTAAAACAAAACTTAGTAAGTTACGTTTTTATACCTCACGTTTATAGTTCTTCGATGTCTTGACTTAAAAATCTTACAAAATGAAATATGATCATCCCATGAAAAGTTAAAATTGAAATCAAAGGCTTAAGTTATAAACTAATTCATTTATTACATGACAGAGCAGTCTCCCACAAATACTCTCTCTGCAATATAGAATAACTTCCGTGATACACATAGCTGCCAACATGTACTATCCTTGAAGCTTAACTATGAGTAGAATCAATTATCTGCTACTGAAACCTCATTTTTTTTTCTGAGGGTATCCTGATGTTCTTTCAGCTAACACCAATCACATTTTAGAAAAATTAGGTAGTCTGCTAATATCTACAATTCTGTTCTTTCAGAATAAATAAATATAATAAAGAAAATACAGAATGTGATTTAGATAAGATTGTGAGCAGAAACACCATACCATTCTACAAATATCCTTAAATAAATAACTTTACCTACCTCTATATATAGCTTTTATCAGACCTTCTCATAGGTTTAGAAAATTAATACAGGCTCTACAGAAACACATGGCAGCGGGGGGACAATTGGAACAATATGAAGCATCTTGAATGATACTGGATGCTATCACTTAAACAACCAAATCCCTCCCTTTCTATCATGTCCAGTTTTCTCTAACTATTCTCTCTAACAGACACCGCAGTGTCATTTTGTATTTGCTCCTTTCTCCAAACTAATCAGGTGCTTACCACCCCTTCCTGTCCCATGCCTGCCTTATTTATTTAGATATTAAACTATTGAATCTTGGGGCATCTACAACACCGTGGCTGAATGAATCCTCCACAATATGGCCCTATTCTCATGCAGGCCTTTCGAGCTACCAGACTAACAAGATTAAATCCACACCGAACCTCAAGGAATCATTTCAGCATGTCACAAAGCAAAAAGAAAAACCTTCACGTACTTATTCTCATTGCATAACGTTGCAAGTGCTTTGCAAGTTTACATATTTTTCTAACATACAAACTTCAAGAATATATTTGCCCTAATCGGGCACAAATGAATTCTGCACAAATGTAACAAAGCAGGATGACTGTAGCACAAGCTGCTTCTACAAACAGTTACTATCATACCTTTGAAGTGGTGTCTGCACATTCCCAGTAGTATAGTGCTACTATAATGTATAATATAGTAGTACAGTGTATTTCCATGTAAAAATGCATTAATATTATCATCTAGCAATGGCATTGAATTGCATATGAAGCAATGTATATCAGTGTCCATTAACGTATGATTCGTTATGTCACCTCAGAGTGAATAATTGCTTATAAAAAGATTTATTTTAGTAGTATTCTATTGGAACTAAGTGTGGGAGGTCAGTGTAGGATAGCAAAACAAAGATTGCTGAGAAGTTATGAAAAGTGTTTTTAAAAAAGAGAAGAAAACCTGAAGTGTTGCTGTTATTGAAAAGTGTACATGATAATCTTTTCATTGCTTCACCCTGGTTTTAAAAACAGTATCATGCCCAATATATCTTTGCATTCTTTTTTTGACAGCTAACAAACCACATACCTGAAACAAAAATGCTAACTAATGAGCCACATCATACAGCATGTCAGTGTCTACTAAGGAACTGACATCATCAATTTTTATTACTTTATTATATAGACCATCTAACACTTACAGACTTCGATATAATACCAGCTAAGCTGCTGCAGTATATTTGCGCATTTCAAAAATGGAGAGAACAAAGCTAATTTACAACCATGGTTTTTTGATCATCTGGGAAATACCTACCTAATGCACAATACCATGCAGATAATAATGATGGAGTAAAAGCAATTATCATCCAAGGTGACCCAAACAACTACAGGACAAAAAGTGTCTCACGCTAAACTTGCTAAAATAGACCTATCACAGAGAAGTCAAGAGAAGATGCAGCAAACGTGCAGGCAACATTTTAATACGTAAGCCTGCCACCTAAATTCTTATTCTTTACAGTTCTCTTTTGGTGCACAAAATAACGTATCTAACGTAAAATACACAGTGACAGGAAAAAATATCATCATCTAAAACCTTGGGGATGATAGATGATTTCCATTTCTAGAAACTAAATTTAGACTCCCAACTTGGAATCTGCTACTACTGCCATTGAATGTCACAACGTTTCTCTCTCTCAAATTTACTACTGATACACACAAAGCCACGTGACATAGCAAACAGCCACATGACATAGCAAACAGCCACAGACTAGTTCGCTTACCAAATTTTGAACCCTTTATAATTCTTGTAAGCTAAATAAACATATTTGAACACTCCCTAACACAACAGCGAGCCTGATCTCTGTGCAGTAATGTGATCTCAGTGCAACAATGAGAAAATAACAGGGAGGAGGGGAAAGAAATCAACAGTTATGCTAATACTCTGTCTCTAAAATGGCTGAGTGAGGATGAAATAGAGACCAAATCATTTGAATTTATGTTACTCCCACTGATCTACAAAGTCCACTTCAGTTAGTATCAATGTCTAGCTACTGAAATGATAAACCCCTTGTAAATAGCGAGTCTGTCTCATAAGTGAAAGATTAGAAGGATAAGGGTACTACTATTCGAGAGAGAAACGTCTGAAGCACTTCCTAAGTGGCCTTGGGCATATGACAGTGCACACACGGACTCAAGTTGCCTTTGCCCATATACTGCCTGCGCCCAACACCGTGCGGCTGCCCCAGCGTAGTGCTAAGCTCAGGCCGCGCACTTCGCACTCACCGCCTGTACGGTGTCCGAACTCAGCGGCCTGCTGTGGAGCACAGCCAGCCATTTCCAGCCTTTCTGCACCATTCCAGGTTGCTACCTCCGTAATCGTGTTTTGGGCAAGGGGGCTGTCAACTCAAACAACCGCTGCATGAAGTACGTGTCTATTTTTGCAAGTTTGGCAGTGACAGAAACCACCAAGGTCATGTTATACACCAGGAACTACTTTTAAACAATCGAAAGTGCTACTGCTCACATAAAACATTAGCAAGATGGCTGTTTTACAAATAAGACACAGAAAAAATAGCGGTATCTTGGAAGAAATTAAAGAATTTTTGCTAAAATTTTAAAGCTAAGATGTTCCCAACACAAAAAAGGGCATATATGTTAATTAATTTTAGGCATTTGACCTGCCAAATACACTATATGAATCCACTGAAAAAGATCCACACTGTAACATTTTAAAGAGAGAATGCTTACCATGGTAGAATAAATAGGAAGTTCTTTAAATGGGTTAACAAGCAACAGTATATCACCAATGTAGGTCTGAAAAAAGAAGGAGATATAATTGCTTTATTAAGTAATATATTAAATCTTTAAGGAGGCTAATAGTTTTCTTCCAGAAAGGACTTTTGGCAAAGCCTTTTAAATCTAGCTATCAACATATTAAACATAATCTGCTAATTCAGAGCTTTTAACTTCATAACTTTAAATTGAGATCTAAATTTACAATTCAGATAGCATTAATTATTCTTTTGGTAATAAAAATGAGTTCTTCATAATGGAAAATTATGCATAGAAGAATTGCACTGCATATATTATTGGTAGATTATTTGAAAGTTAATTTGTAATTTACTATTTGTTAAACTACAAAAATGTGACATGCCTACCACATAAACAAGCCTCTCAAGCAATTTTTTATGGGATAGATGACAGAATTTAGAAATGCTATCTTGATTACGCAGAATTGATACATTAAAATATGTTGCTTGTGGGATAAGACTGAGCAATTGATACATATATAAGTATTTACACATGTGTATGTGTATATGAACATACCTGCATATAGACAAAAAATCCTGGCTATATTAAAAATAGCAAACCATCCACTGATTGCAAAGGTGCCAAGATTTTATTATTTCATATTTAAACACTCGTATGTGAAAGATGTGCTTAAGTATAAGATTGTAGGTCCCCCTTGCTGCTATACTTCTCGCTCCACAGAAGTAGCTGCTGCTGTATCATGCTCTTAGAATGCAAAAATGCCAGGCCTCTGTCTCTGAAGAGGTCAGACAGTAAACCACCAGGTGAACAGTCCCAGTCAGGCTGCCTTTTTCAAAATGAAGTATTTTGATTTGGGGAGGCCTAAAATATTGCCTTTCATAGTAAATGTACTATTTTTCTTCTGAAATGCCATAATTTATTTCCTCTCTTTCCCCCACCCCTACTTCACTGTTGGGTTTTCCTGCAGAATGGAACTTTATTAAGCTTGCCGAAACATGAAGTAGGACGTGTTCAGTGCTAAGGAGGATTTTAGTTTCTGCTTGGAGTCCAAGGACTTTTCCTTCTACGTCTGAGAACCAAATCACCCAAAGATGCGCAATGGCTGCTTTTGAGCAGAATATTAATGATCACTGCCTAGAAATTTCCATTAAGCTAAGGAGAATGCCAGAGCAGCGTATGAGATCCTCTTAGGTAAAATCTTCAATACTTTAAAATAAAAGAAGGCTTCCTTTTTATAAATACTGAGTATCTGTGGATCCTCCTGAATTCAGTCAAAGCTATCTGTGTTTGGCACCTTTGAAAGTGAGATAAAGCAAAAGAAATACTCATAATAAAATAGGATTTGATCCATGATTCTAAAAAACAGGATTTTTATTATCTTTGATTGCCTTACCGCTAGAATTGAAGTTCCCAAAATTTCAAAGGTACTCTCCTCCTTCTCCTTCTTGCGCTCTGCTCTTGACATTCCTGAATAATACGAGGCCTACCTCCACTCCTCACAAAGCCGCTTAGCTTGTGTTATATATTAACACATAGAGGGTTGGTGCTTATAGAAGTGCTCGTGCCATGAAAGCGGGAGCTTGTTTTTGGACCTTGAGTGTTATTTCACCTTACTCCACACCGAGGGGATTTGCGGACCTTAGGCGCTCTCCCCTTCCCGCAGGTGGGACGTGACACCACCCACGGCTCCCTTGGGGAGGGCACTAGTGCCCGGAAGGCATGGAGATGGGCTGGGGATGTGGAGATGGGTTGGGTGACGTGGAGATGGGCTGGGCCATGGCGATGGGTTGGGGACGTGGAGGCGGGTTGGGGACGTGGAGATGCGGGTCCCAGCCAGCACAGGAGCAGTCAGGCTGGAGCAGTCAGATGGACCACCATCTCATGTGGTCTACCTGGACTTCAGTAAGGCCTTTGACACCGTCTCCCACAGCATTCTCCTGGAGAAGCTGGCGGCTCACGGCTTAGACAGGTGTACTCTGCGCTGGGTCAAAAACTGGCTGGACGGCCGGGCCCAGAGAGTTGTGGTAAATGGAGTTCAATCCAGTTGGCGGCCGGTCACGAGCGGTGTTCCCCAGGGCTCAGTATTGGGGCCAGTTCTGTTTAATATCTTTATCAATGATCTGGATGAGGGGATCGAGTGCACCCTCAGTAAGTTTGCAGACGACACCAAGTTGGGCGGCAGTGTTGATTTGCTCGAGGGTAGGAAGGCTCTGCAGAGGGACCTGGACAGGCTGGATCGATGGGCCCAGGCCAACTGTATGAGCTTCAGCAAGGCCAAGTGCCGGGTCCTGCACTTTGGCCACAACAACCCCATGCAGCGCTACAGGCTTGGGGAAGAGGGGCTGGAAAGCTGCCTGGCGGAAAAGGACCTGGGGGTGTTGGTCGACAGCCGGCTGAACATGAGCCAGCAGTGTGCCCAGGCGGCCAAGAAGGCCAATGGCATCCTGGCCTGTATCAGAAATAGTGTGGCCAGCAGGAGTAGGGAAGTGATCGTGCCCCTGTACTCAGCACTGGTGAGGCCACACCTCAAATACTGTGTTCAGTTTTGGGCCCCTCACTACAAGAAGGATGTTGAGATGTTGGAACGTGTCCAGAGAAGGGCAACGAGGCTGGTGAGGGGTCTGGAGACAAAGCTCTCATACTACCCTTCATCATACAGGATTTAAAATTCTGTTAGAATTTTTCCTGCAGAATAGAAGGAAGTTAATAGGAAGTGGGAATCATGTTGTCAAGGAGACCAGAAGAGATTCAGAAGCAGCTACTTTAGCCAGAAGTGGTGAATGAAATGAGCTTAACATTTTTGAGATTTAAGAGGAATAATATAAGCTCTGCAAGGTAAAGTAAATGCCAAGGAAAACAAAACAAAATCCAAAAGACAGAATAGGAGACAGAAGAAAAAAGAATCAGTGATAAGGGAAATCTGATTAAAGATGAAATAAACATTGACACATGAAGCACTGTGCTTATAAATTATGGTCTACACTTAAAATGTAAGTTGATTCCTTTTTTATGTCAGCCCAAAGAAAAACATTTTTGCATCTCAGCAGAATGCCTAGAAACAGAAAATTTGCATGTGAACGATGGTAAAATTATTTCAATTGTTTGTTCAGAGTTTACTAAAATACTCTCTTGATGTCTGTTTTGTGGATGGACAACGAAAATGAAACTTCTTTGTTCTATTGTTCTGCTTAAGGTGAAGGCTCAGGACAAAAGTAGACACTGCCCTTTCTTGGAGAACAACTCGGCATCCTCAGCCTCTGGCAGTAGCATGCGGCAGGAAGTCAGTAACAAAAGCAGCAAGCAGATTGGGAGGTTTTGAAGGGAACACGGAGTGTGCTTCTGGCAAGACAACCCCAAAGACTGTGGATACTGGTGTTTAACACCGGGGATCTGATCCCAAACTACTGAACTTCTATTGCTCCCATAGGTTCAAGGTC